ATAAGAGAAGTGATACAAACTCCCTTACCTCCCGCACTACTGACTGCTGCAAGCCCACGTCGGCACTGCTGGAGCTTCTGCCCATACGTGCCGTGGATGGCCTGCCCGTGCGTACCTGCTGCCTGAGCACCCATGCGCTCGAGCTAAGACGTCACCCTGTAGCGCTTGGGCGCCCTGGCGAAACGCGCGACCTTCGCATGGGGCTTCTTCTGCTTGAGCCCCCGCTTGGTCCGTACTTCTCTGGCCGTCCTCCTGCCTCCGCCCAAGTCAACGCCAAGAAACCCTGCCTGTAATTGAGCTTGGACAGTGGAGCCCCGGCGCCGCAGACGTCGGACGATCTCCTTCGCATCGCCATGATGAGAACAGACCACACAAGACTTGGGCGCAATCTGCAACTTCATCTTTTTTCAACTCATCCGCGGTGTCAGCTAAACACGCTGAGAGTGAAGAAACAACCTTCTGACGGGAACCAGCTAAACTTTGCGACAAGTCATCAATCCAGAGACGATGCGACACACCTTGATGGGAGCAACTGATTTTGGCCATTACATAGTGGGTCATGCACTTCGCAAATCGGGTTCCATATCTTAACCTTTGTATAGTACTGCATGTAGCCAAGAAGGGTTCACTAACCGCTCCCATTTGTTCAGCCACTCTGGGAACCATGCGCTGGGACAACTTTAAGAGTAGAGTAACTGGGGGAAAAAATAACTTTAATGCCACATCCGTCAAGATATCCCACTCAATACTTTCGTAGAATCCTTTCACATCTAGGAGGCCGTGGCCGTGGGGAGTCCCCAAGGCCCCCGCCACTTCCTCCTGCAGAGTGCGGTGGAACGCTTCGCGGAGCGAAGCATTGCCCGCGATGGCGGCGTCCCAATCCGCCTCCACAAGATTGCACAATTGCCGAACGCGGCCTTCTCGAATGAGCGACCACAGTCGACCGAGAAACGACACCAGGCCGATCACGCGGTCGCCGCTCAGCTTCTTCGGCAGAAGCTTGCCGATGATGAGTTGCGTCTGGTGCGGCCACGCCAGCGTCCGCTCGATGGCGTTGAGCAGCTCGGCCAGCTCCGCCAGCGCCTCCGACGGCAGCCTCTCGACGTCGATCGGCGTCATCCGATCTGCGCCTAGGCCTGTGGTGGCCCTCATGGCGTGAGCCGCGCGACGGATGTCCCACTCAGTGATGGGCTCCATCTGCTCGGGCTCCGCTGCTGCACGTGCTGCCTCGAAAGCCCGCTGCATGCGGTCTCGATCGACAGGATGTGGAGCCCAGAGCTCCTGCCAACGCCGAGCCTTGGTGTCGATGATATCCTTGGGGTGGATCGTGACTCCCGAACTTTCGAACAGCTCCAGCGACGGCAGTGGGTCCTCCTTCATGCTGCGGTGCAATGGGCCGACGGCGGCCTGCTGCACGACCCACTCCTGAAACCCCGCCAGGGACTCGTGCACGGCGCGCCGCTGGCCTCGACGGGCGATCCGACTGGCTTGATCACAGTGCGAGTCCAAGACGGGATCGACGAGCGAGGCTAAATTGAGCAACGCTTTGACCCACTTCTTATCCCCAGCGTCACGGCCAGGTCGGAGTAGACGGTGGACTCCTGACGGCCGAGCGTGCGCAAGCTGACGACAGATATGCTGAATGTTGACTAACTCGCGGGCACCGTTCTTACGCCGCCTATGCTTCAAGGCCTGGCTCAAGACTGTGGCCGCGCGCTTCCACCAGCGCGCCACCTGATCACGGAGCGGGGCCTGCCGTGACTTGGTGGACTGCCGAACCTCCTCAACAACAAAGCGGCAACCCGTGCTCCTGCTGGGCCCCGACCGTTTCTCGATGCCGTGATGTTCCAGAATCGACTGCTCAACGCCACGGACCCACGTAGAGTACCATGCACTGACGAATGGAACTGGCTTGGGGTTGAGCCAAAAAGCTACCGAAGAACGAAACAGTGGGTGCATATCTTCTTCCGTGCACATCTGGAAGTAAATGGATGACCGATTCGCACGCCAACAATCCTGAGACACGAAAAAGTCAGGCTCCGCGCTGAGAGGAGGATCATCCAGGGTCGCTCCCTCGAGCTGACGGGGCGCGCAATCGCTGAGGGGGGAACCGATTCCACCGGACAACCGAATTGGATCCTGACATGGCAACGTGCTACTCTGCGTCTCAGGGTGCTCAGACGATGACGGACCATTTCCACTCGTACCGACCAGGGGCCCACTGGGATCGACAGCGAGAGGCTGGCCTGGCTGCGCAGACGGGCAGAAACTAGCACAGAAATTCGGCTCGTGACTCCAGGGATCTTCCTCCTCGGGCCACTCATCAATTAGAGACTCTTCCTCAGGCGGGGCTGCTGTGTCTTCCTCTTGCCTATCCTGAACAACACAATCGCTAAACAACTCTGAGAAGAACTTAGAGCGGCGCTCAGCGGCAGCAGCAGACTGGATGGCCCTCTCGGCTTTGGCGAGGGACGACTTGGACCCCCCCTGCGGCAACGCGCGGGGCCGCGTCACTTGGGGCAGGCGAGCTGGCGCCTCAAGGCGGCGTGTGATCAGCTGCTTGCCGCTGCTCCTGACCTTAACTGTGATGCCAATGTGCGGCCGCCACGGAACATCAAGCACAGCCTGGCAGTCCAGGATGTACGGTGCCATGGCCTCCGACATGACTGCATAATCGATGAGCGAGCCCTCGGTGCCCGTGTCGCAGGTGACAGCAACTGGGGGCACCATGACTTGCCCGTGAACACGTAGGAGAAAGCCCGACTTGTCGAGTTCAGAAGGATTGACGTTCCAGTCCCCAAGCACTATCCATGGCAGTTGCAACATTTGCAGTACAGCTCCCAACCGCTGAAACCTAGCAAGGTTGCGCCCATACATACCAATTGAACAGTACCCAGAGAACACGAACAAAATGAAAGAGAAGCCCTCGCAATGGACGACGGACCCCACGAAGCCGTCCACCGCCATGGACCCTGCTGCCTTGAGGGCCTTAGCCGGTATGTCGCTCAGGCTGGAGACTTGGAGGTGCTCCTTGGCAAAGATGATCTCGCCACCCTCAGTAGCCTTCTCGGCCGTAGCTGCTGACCGATGCTGCCCAGTGGACCGTGCAGCATTGGCAATCATTCGACGATTGTGCTTGCGTGATACCTGCTCTCGCTTGCGCAAACCAGACTCAGGAACATGAGTCTCGGCGCATCCCCACAGAGCACGGTGATCGCATTGTTGGGTGAGGTACGTCCATACTTGATCCCCCAAAGTAGTGACGTTGGCATAGAAGATGGAGAGGCCCTCGGACGTGTCCTGGACGTCGACAGGCTTCTCGTCGGACAAAACTGGCGCCTGGCCGCCGACCCTCGGCGAGCAGGGTTCGCGACCAGGCGCAGCCCGTCAAGCCGCGGCCGAGCCAGCACTGGCGCCAGCGGCGCCACCTGCAGCCACCGCCGCAGCCTCGGCAGCCGCGAACTTGGCCGCCGACAGCCTCTCCGCCTCGGCTTGCACCTTGGCGTCGAAGGCCTCCTGCTCCTCACGTGAGCTCGTCGCCGCCTCCTCCTCAGCAGCAGCAGCCTCGCCTCCGCCCTGGCTGGCGCCCTCGGAGGTCGGGGCCGTCGGGGCGACCCCGCGGCGGCAGCATGAGCTCCGCCGTCGGCCCCTTTGCGCTTCTTGGCCATGCGCGAGGAGATGTTCTCGCGGACCTTCGCCGCCTTCGCCAGCCACTCCTTGACCTCCCCCGACTTGGACGTGAAGGCCTTCTGCGTGGTCGTGAGCTGCTCGTGAATGGTCTTCAGCTCCTCCCTCTCGGACTCCTCAACCTCGAGCCCCTCGACGTCCTGGAAGATCGACTCATCCCAGGTGGTGGCGAAGAGCTCGGTCGGCTTCTGCTCGCCCGCAGTGGCCATGGGCGCCGCTGCAACCCCCTCGGCCCTGGCGAGCGACTCCACCGCGCCCTTCCGAACGATCTCGGCCTTGGCAAGGATAACAGCGGCTGCCGCCTCTTTGCCCTCTGCGGTGGCCAGCGCCGTGCGCAACCTCCTCACATTGGCCACCGCCTGGTCATGCTTGTGATTGGCGTCCCGCCAGGCCGAGTCGGCCTTTGTCAGCGCAGCTGCAGCGGACGGCTGAGGCGCCGACGCTTGCTCTTGCACTGACAGGGACTCCAGCCGCTGCTTGAGAAACTTCCTCAGCTCCTCATCCTGGGACATCTTCAGCGCCTCCATAAGGTGGTCCCGAACAGAGGTAGGGTTCGCCCACGGTCTGGCAGTGTCCCCTGCCTGCATGGTGGACCCCTGCTGCTCATTTCGACGTAGTCGCTGAACGTAACCCTGCGCTCCCGCGAGGAAGGCCTCACCTTGCTGCCCTTGGGTTTGAAGATGGTCACCTCACAGGCGCAGTGAACACACTTGTTCTCCAGCTTGCTAAGGACGTCATTCCACTCACACCGTTTGCACTGGCCACAGCGAGACCACAGACGGGGAGAAGACGACCGTGTCATAGAATTAGAACGTGCCATGGCTTGAACTCCTGCTTTGGTCAGCCGAGCGCGGCCCGATCAATGGAGCGGGGCCTCGGAGTGCCTCAAGCACCGCGCGCAGGTACAGGAGAATGGGCCCCGCCAAAATGGTTCGGGCCCAAGTGGCTTGAGGGAGGAGGAGGAGGAGGAGGGGGAGGAGGAGGAGGAGGAGGAGGAGGAGAAGGAACAGGAGGAACAGGAGGAGGAGGAGGAGGAGGAGGAGGAGGAGGAGGAGGAGGAGGAGGAGGAGGAGGGTGAGGATTGGAAAGCAGAGCGGAGGAAGGGCCCGTCCCGTGTGTGCACACCGCGCTTCGCGAGCTTTAGCCCTTCACTAGCCACGGGTATTCGTAGCCATTCTGGCTCAAGCTCGGGGGCGGCGCGGCGGGGTCCCGGGCGGCGGCGCGGGGGACCTCCTCGGCGGCGTCTCCCCATCGCGCGCGATCGGGCCTGGCTGATATTGACGGGATTCCACGGCTTCGCTGGTTGTGGCGGGATGTCTTTGTCGTGCTTCCTCGCGGTGGGGCAGCAAGACTGCCTCGTCACTATTGTCGTTCGGAGCTGCGTCTTCTTGAGCTTCGGTTCTCTGGTGGCACTCGTATGGCTTGGCTGGGACAATTCTGTAGCGTCGCTGTACGCACTGAGAAAGGTCTTCCAGTCGCCTGCCTCACCGCCTCTACCTTGCACGTCCTTCGATAACAGAGTTTCGAATGCTTTGGACAAGGCAAGGGTGGCGCGATTGCAGCACGTGGCCGACTCGTTGCTGATACCCATTTCGGCGGGTATATTTGTGCCGTTAGCGATGTTCATCAATGCCGCGGATGCCTCCGACAGGAGTGTTGCTTTCAAGGCGGTGATCATGTGTGTGCGTCATTTCGCAACGCTGTACTGGAAGTACTTGAGATGTTCATCAGGCTTTTCCGTCGCGGACATAAAGAACATGTTCATATTCTTCATGTCGTTCATTGCGGTACGAACGTATTTTGAAGAGTCACACGTACTGTTCTTCATGTACGGTGGTTTTTGGAGCGCGGCACGAGTGCTTCTCGCGGTCGGATTACTTGATTGCAGGATGTCGGGGAGGTGGAACATGTTTCTTTCTGCAGTGACGTGCCTTTCTTCCTGGGAGCGGCGCGAGCAGCTACGCATCCACGGACACTCTCCCATGGGCGCGTTCGTCCACCAATGTATGGTTGAATTGGTTACTTGTGGACTTATCTGCTTTGCCTCAGCATTCTTGGAGGCTTGTGAGAAGGACCGTGTCAAGGCATCCATACAGTCCAGCCAGTCTGGCAGGGCGTATCAGGCAGCTCAAACACTGCTCGGTGTATTCTGCGACGCCCAGCTGCGCATCTGCCCACAATGTAACATCATCGCCCATTCCCCACACCTGCTGCACTTGCTGGGCTCAGGAGGCACGAGGCACACGCTTCATGGATGCAGCTTCCTTCAGTATTTGCTAGAAACCGACCAGCAGCGCTTCCAGGACTTCATCTCCGGGGCGACGCTGTTGCAGCAGCGCTCTCAGAACTTCTCGTCCGAGCGCAACGCCGCCTCCATAGCCGAAGGTCCGAGCTCGAGCGATTTCTCCATGGGCCACGCCACCTCCACCCAGGTGTCCCTGCGGAAGGAGGGGTGCGCGCACCCGATCCCGGTGGAGCTGTTCCTGATCAACATCGCCGACGTCCAGGATGCCCCCGAATTTCTGATGGGGATCCGGGAGACCTGCGAGGCGCTGCCGCGGGAGGCCTGCACGGATGCCCCTCGTGCCGAGGCGCTGCAGCGGCCAGCGGCGGCCCCTTCGCTGCGCGGGCTGGACCCCGAAGCGGGCCGAGGTGGCGCCGTGCAGTGCCCGAGGGCAGAGGCCACGGGGGCACCGACGGCGGGAGAGCAGCGCCAGTCGTCCGGTGCGGCACAGGCGCTGGCCCAGCAGCAGCCGCCGCCTCAGACGCTGGCCGCTGGCGCTGGCCAGCGACCGCCGGGGGCGCCGGCGCAGCGGCCCGTCCACAAGGTCGGCCGGAAGCCCCGCAGCTCCATCTCGTCGTCCTCGAGGGCCTCCTCCTCGTCCGCCGGGAGCTGCGCGCCGGACGCGGGCCGTGTCTCGTCCGTGTGCCTGCGGCTGGACTCCAAGAGCAGGGGCCTGCGCGTCGAGGACATGCTGCTGCGCTTCGAGGGCGGTCGCCGGTCGCCCTGCCTGAAGGATTGGCTTCCGAAGGAGACCGTGGACGAGGTCCGCAGGAGCAGCCAGGATCTCGTGAATCAGAGGTCGGGCGAAGAGAACTATGCACATGCACCGATCCTGGCAAGGCCCATCCTTGACCCAGAATCGGTGCATATGCCCTCCTGGCCAAGGTAGCAGGGCGTATGCACCGAGCCTGGGCTCAGGATGGGCCTGGCGAGAATCGGTGTATGTGCATAGTTCTTTTTCCTCTAAGAGGGATTACGGGCCCAGTGGCGAGGAGTTGGTGGCGGGCGTCGGTGCTGGTACGGTGCGGTTCTCCAGTGGCGGGTCCACGTTCCTGCTGGCGGAGCGCGCAGCGCTTGCCGTGGATGGCTACTTCATTGACCCACGTGACTCAGGCGAAGAATCCGATTACTTCAGTCCGTTCATATTCATGTACCTGTCTGGAGTGTCGAAGCTCCGCGTGCCTTGGCAGAGCGTGCCGCAGAGGGTCTCGAATAGGCTGCACCCGATCGACGAGTCACCGACGGATGCGGCGTATGGTGGCAGCGCGTCGACACTCAGACGGAGAACCAATGAGGGGGCTGGAGAGGACTGCCAGGAACGAGATGGTGCCTAAGGCATTCGGGGCAACACATTCACGCATGAAAATTAGGGGCGGGGGTTGGCCGCCTGACATCGAGGCCTGGTACTTTCATGCAGTGCGCAGACGTAGCTGTATCTCAATCATGGGTCGTTACAATCTGTCGCCTCTCGCGCAATCTCTGCCCTCGCTGCAAGCACACAGCTTGTGCGCATATTCTGGTTCTAGGTTTCTTTCGCTAGCCACGGGTACCCAGCACATGGCCTGTTTACAATCATATTTCCCAACCGTCCTGTGGTGTTGGGTCCTCTTTTTGAAGAGACAGCGCCCCGCGTTCCTCCTCCTCCTCCTCCTCCTCCTCCTCCTCCTCCGTCCTCCCATCACCATCGTCATCGTCATCGTCATCGTCATCGTCATCGCCATCGTCATCACCATCATCATCATCATCATCATCATCATCATCATCATCATCATCATCATCATCATCATCATCATCATCATCACATCATCATTCTCGTCATCGTCATCGTCATCACCATCATCATCACCATGATCATCGACATCATCATCACCACCATCATTACCATCATCATCATCATCATCATAATCATCATCATCATCATCATCATCATCATCATCATCATCATCATCATCGTCATCGTCATCGTCATCGTCATCATCACCATCATCACCATCTTACCCATCATCGTCATCATCACCGCCGCCATCTTCACCATCATCGACACTCATTTCGGCTTTCCACTCACACGGTTCGTGGCCCCAGAGCTCCACCTGAGGCCCCAGTGGCGACGTTCCCATGCGTCCGCGCCACCCATGTCGGCACACCCCTCACATGGTTCGTGGCCCCATACGGAGCTCCACCTAAGGCCCCAGTGGTGACATTCCCATGTGTCCGCGCCACCCCTTTCGGCTCGCCCCTCACACAGGTTCGTGGCCCCAAGGGAGCTCCACCTAAGGCCCCAGTGGCGAGGTTCCCATGCGTCCTCGCCACCCATGTCGTCTCACCCCTCACACGGTTCGTGGCCCCATATGGAGCTCCACCTAAGGCCCCAGTGTCGACGTTCCCATGCGTCTTCGCCACCCACGTCGGCTCGCCCCTTACACGGTTCGTGGCCCCATACGGAGCTCCACCTAAGGCCCCAGTGGCGACGTTCCCATGCGTCCTCGCCACCCATTTTGGCAAAGCTCCACTTGCGGCCCCAATGGCGACGTTCCCATGCGTCCGCGACACCCATGTCGGCTTACCCCTCACACGGTTCGTGGCCCCATACGGAGCTCCACCTAAGGCCACAGTGGCGACGTTTCCATGCGTCCGCGCGACCCATGTCGGCACACCCCTCACACGGTTCGTGGCCCCAAGGGAACTCCACCTAAGGCCCCAGTGGCGACATTCCCATGCGTCCGCGAGACCCATTTCGGCACACCCCTCACACGGTTTGTGGCCCCAAAGGGAGCTCCACCTAAGGCCCCAGTGGCACCGCCCGCATGTAGGCGACACGCCATTTCGGCACACCCCTCACGCGTTTCGTGGCCCCATAGGGAGCTCCACCTAAGGCCCCAGTGGCGACGTTCCAATGTGTCCGCGCCACCCATGTCGGCTTACCCCTCACACGTTTCGTGGCTCCATGGGGAGCTCCACCTAAGGCCCCAGGGGCGACGTTCCCATGCGTCCGCGCCACCCCTTTCGGCTCACCCCTCACACGGTTCGTGGTCCCAGAGGGAGCTCCACCTAAGGCCCCAGTGGCGACGTTCCCATGCGTCCTCGCCACCCCTTTCGTCTCACCCCTCACACGGTTCGTGGCCCCATAGGGAGCTCCACCTAAGGCCCCAGTGGCGACGTTCCAATGCGTCCGCGACACCCATGTCGGCACACCCCTCACACGGTTCGTGGCCCCATACGGAGCTCCACCTAAGGCCCCAGTGGCGACGTTCCCATGCGTCCTCGCCACCCATTTTGGCAAAGCTCCACTTGCGGCCCCAATGGCGACGTTCCCATGCGTCCGCGACACCCATGTCGGCTCACCCCTCACACGGTTCGTGGCCCCGTACGGAGCTCCACCTAGAGCCGCAGTGGCGACGTTTCCATGCGTCCGCGCGACCCATGTCGGCACACCCCTCACACGGTTCGTGGCCCCGTACGGAGCTCCACCTAAGGCCCCAGTGGCGACATTCCCATGCGTTCGCGAGACCCATTTCGGCGCCCCTTCACACGGTCCGTGGCCCCATAGGGAGCTCCACCTAAGGCCCCAGTGGCACCGCCGGCATGTGGGCGACAGCCCGTTCCGGCACACCCCTCACACGTTTCGTGGCTCCATGGGGAGCTCCACCTAAGGCCCCAGTGGCACCGCCCGCATGTGGGCGACACCCCGTTCTGGCACACCCTTCACATGTTTCGTGGCCCCATAGGGAGCTCCACCTAAGGCCATTGGGCCGGCATGTGGGCGACATCCCGTTTCAGGTCACCCTTCATTCTTTTCGTGGCCCCATAAGGAGCTCCTCCGAAGATGCTACTCCCAACTGCGATACTCACAACTGCATATGGTTAGATCGTTCGCCAGGCTATTTCTAAAATGGCCGAATGCGGCTTCATCTGACCTCGCTACAGTGCCCCCCCCACGTGCTCGTATAATCATCGTCACTATCGTCGTCATCATCATCAGCATTAGCATCATCGTCACCATCACCATCAGCATCAGCATCAGCATCAGCATCAGCATCACCATCACCATCGTCATCATCATCAGCATCATCATCATTGTCATCACCATCAGCATGAGCATCATCATCACCATCAGTATCATCACCATCAGCATCATCGTCGTCATCATCATCTTCATCATCATCATCATCATCATCACCAGCATCAACATCACCATTATCAACATCGTCACCACCTGCAGCGTTAACATCATCATCACCATCACCACCATCATCATCATCACCATTATCATCACCATCACCATCGTCATCATCATCATCAGCTTCATCATCATCATCATCATCATTGGCAGCATCAGCATCAGCGTCATCATCGTCATCACTATCACCATCATCACCATCAGCAGCATCATCGTCAACATCACCGTCATCATCGTCATCGTCATCATCATCATCATCATCATCATCATCATCATCATCATCGGTATCACCATCATCATCAGCAGCATCATCATCACCACCATCACCACCATCACCATCATCACCACCACCACCACCAACTTGATTGTCGTCGTCGTCATCGAGACGGCGAGGAGGTCGAGGATGAGCAGCGGGGCGGCGCGGGGTGGGGCGCCGGCCGCGCACGCCCAGGCCCGTCCGAGGTGCGCTCCGCGTACAAGCGGCTGGCCCTCCGGGTTCACCCGGACAAGGCGCGCGGGCCCCGGTGCGTGGCGCCCTCATGAGAGGAGGCGGGGGTCCCTCCTTCGAGGAGAGAATCAGAGGAGGAAGAGGTACCCATACCGCTACCCTTCCCTCGTTTTCCCCTTTTTGGGCCTCCCGGGGCCCTTGCCGCCACCGCTGGATTCGCTTCGAAATTCTGGTCAGAACGCACCCCAGAAGAGGTCTGTGGAGTGGCGGTATCGGCACCTCTTGGTCATCCTAGAAGCACGGTGCCCATGGCCAGGGTGCCGCGGATGTCGGCGGCGTCGCTCTTGGTCATGGTCACGGTCCCTGCCGGGTGCCGCCGCTTCGAGGGGGTGCTCCACGAGTTGATGCTGACCAAGGTGGACGCTGACCAAGATCGACACCATCGCTTCCGCCTTCAGCCTTGGTCATGGTAATAGATTGTTCTTATCCCTCCATGCACAACTGGAGCAGGGCACCAGCATGGATAGCCTCACAGTTGGCGGGGCGCAGACAGACAGAGAGAGAGAGAGAGAGAGAGAGAGCCCAGGGCCCTATACGCCCCAAGCTCTCAACCTGCGGCCGTGCTGCGGCGTTGAGACTTCGGCCGCCGTGGCACAGTCGTTGCACAGCACTGGCCCGTGACACACATATGCGCTGCGCTCATTTGTACTTTGACGTCGGCGCGCCAGGCTGGACGTGAGCCGCCGTCGAAGAGACCTTGAACTCCAAGCTCCTCCTCGTCCTCCTCCTCCTCCTCCTCCTCCTCCTCCTCCTCCTGCCTCCTTCTCCTCTTCCTCCTCTTCCTCCTCCCCATGCTCCTCCACCTCCTCTCCCGACCCCGCCGCGCCGTACCAAAAATCACGCTGGAAGGTTCTGTCGCCATCTTGGGGCCCTTGCCGCGCCTTGGGTCCGTCAAACGGCTGCTCGGGATGATGCGCCAGCCCCGCGGGATGGGGTCGAGACTATTGGGGTCCACAGTTTGAGCAAGTCACGACGTTGGGCAGCGGCTGGGTCCTCCCTCCTGCCAGACGTCGTCTGTCATCGGCCTTGCGGCCCATCTCCTCCCTCCTCCCTCCCTCCTCCTCCTTACCCTCCCTCCCTCCCTTCCCACCCTCCACGTCCCTCCCTCCCTCCCACAGATCCCTCCCTCCCTCCTCCTCCTCCTCCTCCACCTCCTCCTCCTCGCTCCTCCTCCTCCTCCTCCTCCTCCTCCTCCATCCCTCCTCCTCCTCCTCCTCCTCCTCCTCCCTCCCTCCTTAGCCTCCTCCTCCTCCTCCTCCTTCTCCTCCTCTTCCCGCCTGGATGCAGAACTGTGCGTGATCGGCGCCCCGACTGGCGATTCTTCCCACTCGTGGCCGCCCTCCTCTCCCCCCCCGCCCGCCCCACCCCCTGGCCCATCCCAAGACCCCCCTACTTTGTGATTCCGTCTGCGACCTGCACGGGAAGGTCTCGACCCCATCCCTGGGACTGGCTTGTCAACCCGAGCTGCTGTCTCGGGGGCCCCCAAGCGGTGTGGTGGGCGACTGGGGCCGACGAGGTCTCGAGGCCGCGCGGTGGCGGTCCGCGCCGGGGACGTCTCTGGGAGCTTCGAGGGCCCCCGCGCGGCCGCTCACCGCGCGGCTCGGAGTCCACGGCCCGAGGGCCCGGCAGGGCCCCCCCCCCCTCGGGGC